GAAAAAAAGGATCGTCAACATCACTGACTTTGTGTATCATATTTCAATAATAATTTGTCCCACCACAGAAGAAGTACAGCTGCAGTAGTAAGCTGATTTAAACATCAGTCCTGCGGCTCTTCACTCCCTGTGCAGCTCCGACCCTCGTCCGTCTAACCTTGAGCTGCTATCAGGCTGTCCAAATGTTCAACATTCTCAGAGGTGGAAACTCTGCCGGTTTATTGTCCTCGTTTGTTTCCCGACAGTCGGAGCAGTGACCTCCCTCTCCTCCCCGCCGGCCTCGACCAGAAGGGAACTTCAAATGTTAGAATAATCAGAATGAGTCCAGCTGACTTGTGAAATGACCGTTCCTTGTTGTTGATGTTTGTTTCTCTCTCAATGTTTTACAGTCCGGTGACTTCAGTGATATCACAAACTGGCCCACGCCTGGTGAGCTGGCCAAAGAGGTACGTGTGTGTGTGTATACGTGTGTGTTAAATTAAACATTAAAGACAACAACTTGTGCTTCAGTGTTTTCTGCTGCTTTTAATGAACCGACTGGTCTGATTACAGAAGAGCTTTTTCTTATAAGTTTTCCGGATGTGGTGCATCAAACCTTTTGAGTCCAAATTTTAGACGATAAATGATTTCACGTTCTTTATAACGTTCCAGGTCTTCTTGAAGTTGTAAAAATGCATCAAAGAGAAGTTTAATTGTTTAAAACGCTGTCCTGTGTCCAGGAGAGCCTGAAGAATATTCTCTTTTGACTAAAATAAAAAGTCTCTTTGTCTTTTTGTCGTCACGTTTTCAGGTCTCAATAACCGGCCCTCAAGTCGAGATAAAAACAGTGAAACTTTTAGAAAGCGGCTAGAAAACCAAAATGTAAAAGTCATTGCTGGACCCAAAAAAAAAAAAGCGTGACAGTAAAGAGCCATTAGAACGCGTGAACCCCTTAAAATGAAGCAGAGAAACACTTGAGACCTTCATAGCCGGAATTATGTGTAAAATTGTATGAATGTTTAATCTGCGCATCATGAAATAGAACTCAAACCTAAAATGTGTGTCAAAGAACACAGAACAAACGGAAGCAAACCGAATTCAAGCGTGTGAGGATAAACTTGACGTTTCACCTGTAGAATTTATTAAACATCCGGTCTCTCCGTCTCCCAGCAGCAGCAAAATGTCCTCAACAACAACGGGAAGAAGCCGGCCTCGTCCTCGCGCAGAGAGAAGGAGAAGGAGGGGGATCAGATGGAGGGGAAGTCGGAGAGCAGCCACGACGGAGGAGAGAGCAAAGAGAACCAGGAGGCTCAGCCCGACCCGCTGGGGGAGCTACCCAAAGACGGGGAGTCCAAGGCGGGACAGGACGCCAAGAACGCCGCCCTGAAGAAGAGGGGAGGCGAGGGTGAGGACTCTTTCTCTCTCATATTGTATGTATCTATCTATCTATCTATCTATCTATCTATCTATCTATCATGTTATTCAGCACATTAAACAGCATCCTTTCTAAAGGAGTAGTGGTTGTAGTAGCTTCAGATCAACATTTGAACGATGCATTTCTTCTTCTGTCCTGTGAAATGATTCATCTTCATATAATCAAATCGTTTTTTAAATGTTGTTAAGAATCCGCTTAACTTGGAGATGAACGCTTTCTCTGTGTTCTGCATCCTTGATTGCTGTGTAGAGGGAGCATGAAGCATATTGATCACATTGGTTGGTGCATGTTCTGCTCTGAAGATGTGTTGCCCTTCATCTGATTCGCTTCTACCTTTTTAATAAACTACATTTAAATAAAAGAAATGACCAGGAAGCGATCTTTATGGAGGCTTATAAGAGACCACACCACTTCATCAGCTCTTCATCAGCTCTTCATCAGCTCCAGAGTGTCTAAACCGGAGAGTTTTGTTCCAAAATTAGATGAAATCATCCACCATAGATCCACATTTTCAGTGTATCAAAATGATGAGGTGCTCTTTGACGGAAACAAGTCCTTTTTAAAAAACATTATTTTGAGTTTTATGTCCGAGTGAGTGTTTGGAAGCTGACTAACCGGTCGATCTTTATTTTAGAGACGCACGTTGATGATTTATTTTGTTTCAAACTGGATTTCCAGCATTTCTTTCCCTTAATTTTTGGAACAAAACTCTTCCCGCTCTGTTTTTCGGTGTGCAATCTTCGCTAGGTAACAAACGTAAGTGGGTTTCTCTGCCGATGGAGGATGCGTCACGGGACGACGGCGGCAAGACGTCCGGCAGGGGTCCGGACACGGAGCCCACCAGCGACGCGCACGACCCGGCGTCGCCCAATCACACACTCCATAATAACAGGGCGCATGATAGCAGCAGGAGTAAGTGGTCTTCTGTTCACGCACGTCAGTCTCTGTTGTGCTTCTTCACTCGCTGGTTTTAGGTGTTTGCTCACCTCGTCTGTCTGTCCAGTGTCTTCATACTAACGCTTATCTACGGTGGCGAATTTGGGCTATTGTAGTTAAAAAAAAGTGGGGTAATATTCAGAGAGAAAAATCCGAATTTTTACGAGATTACAGTCCTAAATTTACAAGAAAAAAACCTCTATTCTCTGAGATTAGTTGGTCTTCAATTTGCTCAAAAAATATCAGAAATTCTGAGATTAAGATCAAATTTACAGGCATTGTGTTCATGAAATAACCCGGGAAAAAAACGTGAAAGAATAAGCGTATATGTATCTTTCAGGACCCTGGAAGATGCCGTCATTACGATAAGAATACAACTTTAGTAGCAACGAGACGACGGTGGCGACGGTTGTCGGATGCAAAGTGAAGATTTTTCTTCTAAATTTACAAGTTAAATCTTAGTTATTTCTCTGAATGTTACCTCCTTCCCCGGCTCCGTAATTCATCTGTTTTTCTACCTGCGAAACATCGTCGTACACCGCAGAGTGAATGCGTAGAAATGAGTTCCCTGTGTTTAACTTTTAATACTTTGTTTGTATCGAGCTCTTAGAATTCTTCTGCTCTTTAGAATTCATCAGGTGTTTATCAGACTTTCTAGTTTGGGATGAACTACGTGAGATATGTGACGGAGCTCTTCATGTTTTCTTGATGTCAGGTTGGAGAAGAGAGCCGCGGGACTTTGCGGACGATACTGCCAGCGTCCGGAGCGACGGCGGGAGCGTTCGCGGAGGAATACGAGGCCGAGGGAAAGGTCGCGGTCGCGGGAGAGGACGTGGACGAGGTAGTTTTTAGTTCTTTTACACCGGATACTCGCACCTATAAAATACTACACTCGTGTTGTGTCTCTACTTAAAACATCTCAGGGTCTAGATGTGGCGCTCGTCTCTTATTCACGAAATGTTTCTCACGCTTCTCCTTCAGGCCGCTACGAACACTCTCAGAGCTTCCGGGACTCTCCGTCGTCTGACGGCTCCGTTCAGGCCAACAACATGGTTTACTACTACGACGACGGCGGCAGCAAAGGCCAGATGTACTCGGTGGACGAAAAGCTTCTTAAAGATTACATCAAACGTCAGATGTGAGTATTCGACAACTACTGTGATTGGCAGCTTTGGGGCCTGGAAGGTTTCTCCACTAGAATAAGAGTTTACCTCACAGAACGTCCAGATCGACTCAACGAGACATTCATATCGTTCATCTTCTACTAAGATGCTTTAATGGCTGCAGGTTGAGAACAAGAGTGAATGAAGAATCAGTGACGCAGTTTATTGTCATTTCCATCTCTTGTGTTTACAATTCAACAAGGTAAATCTTTGCTTGTGCAGTCATCGTATCGATGATAATACTTTTGAGTGTGTTTTTGTACACACTGTGTGTGCATGTATGCATTAAAGGGACCATCACAGGAATCCACCTCTAAGAAAATAGGGCTATAGCCTTAACACTGAAACTATTTCTTCCATTTGAATGTAACTTCAAATATTTAGATTTAGTCGAGCATCAACCAGCTAGTAATAATATATTTAATGGTAATAGAAACCCTCAGATGTGATGGAAAGCTTCTTCAGACACATTTCAACGTGCTCAGACGAGATGAAAGTGGAAACCACCTTTTTAAAAGGTTTTGTTTTATTTTATTTGTAAAATAATAATAGATAACAGAGACGACAGACTTACAACAAACCAGCAGATTGCATCAACCAGAGAGTGACCGTTCAGTGACAGTTCAAGTGCATTCAGTGCTCAAGCAATCCTTAATCTTCTAAAGATCTTACGTTCTTATAAAATAATCTAGTTCATAAAACGTCACCATATTTAATGTTTTCATTATCGCAGAATTAGTTTATATTATTAAAAACTGAGTTGTTGTTTGTAAAACTCTCAATATGATGTTTAAAAGGCAGATATTCATAAGTTGAGACTCAAAACAGGTGAAGGTTGTTCTGAGTGTCCGCATGACCGACGAGCAGTGAAGGCAGCACGTGTGCTCGGTGGAGCTCCTCCGGGTGCGTTGTGTCCTGCAGGGGGCAGCGTTCACTCTGTCTCTGACTGACAGCTCTGGCCTCATTTCAGAGAAGTGGACTCCTAAATATAGCCCGAGTGCTTCGGAGGGGACAGGATGAATTATATGCTGCGCTGAGCGCGGAAATGTAGAAAAAAGAGAAGAAAATACAGTGTTTCAGGGAGGAGGGTGAAGGGAACAAGTGAGGGAGGGAGGGAGGGAGGGACAGACAGACATTCTTGTCTTCTCCTCTCTCGTCTCCCTCAGCGTTATTCAGACTGCTCACTCAGCCGGCGTTACTCCACATGAACCAACGACAGCCCACCGCCTGCAGGCTGGTGTGTGTGTGTGTGTGTGTGTGTGTGTGTGTGTGTGTGTGTGTG